ATGTTCTATTTCCCGCAGCAGACACAATAGATAGCCCAATGTGGCTTTGCTCTAAAACAACCAAACCAGTTCTTATATGTGAAGATTTTCCGCTCCGTAATGAAAGTTCCAGTTTCTGTATATGAGGATTATCACTCTGTAATGAAAACTCCAATTCTTATATATGAGGATTTTCACTCCGCAAAGAAAATTCCAATTAACGTGTATAAACATTATCACTCTATAATGAATATTTCAATTTCTGTGTATGAGGGTTATAAATCCGTAATGACAGTCCCAATTCCTATATATGAGGATTATCATTTTGAATTGAAAATTCCAATTCCTATAAACGAGGAAGTGTGCAGATTGAAAAAAAAAAGTTTAAGTAAAATGTACTAGGCAGGAGACACAATACAGCTAACAGCAAAAAGACCTTCAGTGATAAAAGTTTAAGTTTCATAATTAGTGAATTGTAGTAAAGAATAATTTGGGTCGAGAAGAACACAGCATGAAAGATACTATGTTGTCAAGATTTATGGATTTTATTCTCTATGTAAAGTCGAGACGGCTGAGTCTGTTATGTGATCATTAGCCAAATCAAATGATATGTCCACTTCCATCCTTATCTTGTATGGTTCCTTTTTACAAGTCCAGTAGTCAGCCGTACATAGCTTTTATATTTAGCTATTTTTTTCCTAATACTTGATTGTTTAATTTTTTATAAGATGGTGTACGTGGGTTACTAGGTTACAGAGTGTATTCTAAAGTTTTATACGTTTTGCACAGAATAATAATAAAATAGGTTGTCAAAGATCGAGAAGACTGTTTTGCTCTGTCAAATGATGATAAAATTATAGTTCCTGCTAGAACTAGGAAGGCGCTAGACTTGTTGAAGAAAGATGATGATAAACGAAAATATGAAATCTCGGTTTTGGCTGTTCGCTCCTTTTCGACTTTGGAACGCTGTAGATATCTGAAAAACGGAATATACACCGGAGATAGAGCGACTATGCCAGGTAGCTCTTCATATCTAGCTTCTGATACCTGTAGATAAGAAAATCCAGACGACTTTTGTATTGCTTTAATATGGGCGTCCGTGCCATCTCTAGATAGAGAATGCTAGCGTACTCTCAGATATTTCCGTGTAAACCTATGTCTGCTAGCTCCAGCTGCCCGTTTTATAAACCTAGAGTGAAAAATCGAATAAAAACACTGCATGTTATTACCTATTTACTCTTAAAACAATGCCTGATTTTACCCCTCGACTTATACACAGATTCAAAGGTTTAACCGAAACTCAGTTGTTCATTTAACCTTTGTTTGCTTTTTTTTATTTTTTGAGTAAGTGCGTTGACATCGTGCCATTTACTGCGTTACAATAACATATTTGTAATTGTATGACCTGTCTCGATTCTTCAAAACAAGAAGTTATTTATCTCAAATGCTAGTTACAACTGATTAAAACATTTTGTATTTGAAATGTATTGATCTCATACGTCTTACTAAAATATTAATAATATTGTGTCAAAAAAGTTAGTGTCTGTAACGTACAATAATTCTGTTAACATGTTTTATAGTAGATCACTAAATCTTAAAGTTTAGTATTTTTTGTAATAGAAAAGGAGTTCAACTGTGATGAAAACTTTGTAAAGTTGTTCATTATATGTTTGTGACTTAAGTTATTCTGCATTGAGTTGTTTGTAGCGTTTAAAGAGCATAAAAAACTACACTTGTGGTTGTATTGTTTGCCCCAGAGCGCAGGTTAGCACAGTTTAAAAATAACTTCTAAGAACTTCTTTACAAAAGTAACATTTTGGACTTGCTTGACAATAGAGGTTGTTTTATACACTGAACCGCAAAGAAATATACTTAATGTGCTCAAAAAATCCAGAATCGTCTTATATACCAGCAAATACTGTATTTATATATCACTGTCAAACGACCTAATACATCTGTCCAATTATTTCAACCAAAGATAAAAAACTACATATTTTGACCATTTCTTTATAATTTTATAAGTGAACATAAGAGAGAAAAATAACCGTCTATCCGTAGATGAGTATCATTCAGGAAAGATTTACAAGTTTCGTGTAAAACAGAATGTTTTAGCTTGGTGATGTCACAAAATCCCGACACCGAACATGCTCGCCCTTTCAGCTGTATGGGCGTTATAATGTGACGGTCAATCTAAGTTTTGGTAAAAGATTAGCTCCAGAGTTAGCAGTAGGTGTTGTTGTTTGTAATTAAGCACAAAGCTATACAATGTGCTATCTGTGCTCTGCCCACCACGGGTGTCTAAACCCGGTTTCTAACGTTGTAAGTCCGCAGAAATACCGCTGTGCCACTAGGGAGCAGGTAGTGTTGATTATCTCTAGTATTATCGCTTCTAAATTAGGGACAGTTAGCACAGATTGTACTCAAGTAGCTATGAGAGAAATTCAGTAAAGAAACAAACAAATAAAAGATGTTACTAAAAGATATACTCGATGTAAAACAGCCATGTAGGATATATATGTCGTCACATTTAGTGTTTTGTCCCTATATATCGACTCGAAAAAATATTATGAAACCAAAATACAAAAAAAAGGAGTTAGCTTTTTAACTCGTGAGTTTTATATTTATTAGCGAGTCTAAATGTTTACGTTATTAAGTTTCTCAATTTTTTATTTATCCTTTAATCTAATAAGTATGCATATATGTGTGTGTGTGTGTGTGTGCATAAAGCTACACTGTACTATATATTTGTGGGAAAGGGAGATATATCTCAATATCTACCTACGTTTTAGTAATATACTGTAGAACCACGTGATTAGGAACGGATTTTTCCAAATAACGACACACCTACGGTTCACAGTTCTCAAGCTATGGTTTGAAGACAAATATTATTGGTGGATAGGTAGCCCATTTGTAGCTCAATGATCTAGCCGAACTGGATCTCATGGGAACATCATAGGATCCAGGACTTTTAACAAAATTATGAAGCGTCCCTAATCACCCACTATGAAGTGATTATAGTGACGAACATTAAAAATTACCTGTAGTCCCATTTTCTCCATTTGTGGAGTGTATAGGAAGAACCAAAATATGTTTAAAAACCTACAAATTTACAAAATATGCACATATAATCCCACATATTTAACAATAAAGATCGAAAAATATCCACCAGACCCCAAAGGTTATGAAAAGGAGGTAAACAGGTGTATGGTATAATATAAGAAATCATGAAAATCAGGCTGTATCAGCTATGAAAGTAGTGTTGTGCTGCACTGAAAGATTAGACTATGAACTAAATACACTCTGATAATCAGACCAATAGTTCCTTTAAAATTAATAGTTAGTGGATTTCATCCCTAATCATGAAAATCAGGCTGTATCAGCTATGAAAGTAGTGTTGTGCTGCACTGAAAGATTAGACTAGGAATATGAACTAAATACACTGCTAACTATTAATTTTAAAGGAACTATTGGTCTGATTATCATCTGAATTGAAATATAGTCCACCTGGACTAAGTTATGTCTATACTTGTGATGATTACCATAGTAATTGTATTCGGTGGACAAGACAGTGGTAATACATTCGACATCATGTTCAAAGTGAATAAAATACCGTATAAAATAAGCTTGACATTTCTGATACTTACAAGAAACGCTCAACTAATTCAGATCTCCCAATTATCAGTATTGAAGAATTATGTGGTGCTTCATCATTTTATCATAAGACAAATCGTTTAAGGGTGACTCGGCTGATTAAATAGATGTGATTCATAACAAGTGATCACAAGCTGTTGTTTTTTAAAGTCTGGGATAAAATATTATGTAGAGCAATGTTAAGCTTCTTAAAATCTTAGGGTACTTTGAAAACAACGTTTCGTTTCGCCATACTGGTGTATGTGCTTTCCATTTCCTTAAATTGAACAGGTGTAGTTTAAAAACTTCTCATTGGAGGATACTAGCCATAATAAGTTAGTGCATTTATTCTTTATATTATTTAGAAGGTTATTGTAAAACGAGGCGATTAGGGATGAAATCCATGAAAACAAGTGTTAACTTAGTCCAGGTGGGTCTATATTTAAATTCAGATGAAAACAAGTGTTAACTTAGTCCAGGTGTGTCTATATTTAAATTCAGATGAAAACAAGTGTTAACTTAGTCCAGGTGTGTCTCTATTTAAATTCAGATGACAGCAAGTGTTTAGAAAACTTTTGAGTTTAATAAGCTTTCAAAGTTCAGGATATTTTCTTGATTATACATAATCTAATTTCGCACAAAATTAGAAAAACTGGGCTATCACTGAAGTATTGTTTATTTGCAATTAAGCACAAAGCTACACAATGGGCTACCCTCTGCTCTGCCCGCCACGGGTATCGAAACCCGGTTTCTAGCGTTGTAACCCGCAGACATACCGCTGTGCCACTGAGGGGCGTCACTGAAGTAAAAGAGAAGTGTTCATCCCTCTGATCTCTCTACTTTTGGGAAATACACGTTTTACAAGACGATCTATGTTAAATATTTACGATGATAGTCAAAAAGACTATGTCACCAAACCAAAAAGTGACATCGTTAAACGACCAGTAGCAGTTTTACATAAAGGATATTCTCCGCGTTTAGCTTTTTAAGTTAATGTTTTTAAGTAAAAAATAAAAAATACAACTTAGAATGAACAAAATGCAGTACCGCAAATCTCCCAATCTGAGAAACAAAGAGAATGTTATTGAAGCCCAAAGGTGAAAGAAAAACAACAACAAATGAGTTAGAAATTTGTATTATTAGCCCGAATGTAAATAGCAAATAGATAAATTTCAGAAGTTTTCTTTTAATGTTTTTTTTTTTTTGCATAATTCCATTTTTATGTAAAAAGAAGCTGTGAAATATTCTGTGGTTTGTGCGTTTTGAGTGTGTCACGTATACTTTATAGAAGTTCCAGTATATCATATCATGTTAATGAATGTAGCCCTAACTTCCCTGAATCTTATAAAATATTTAACTTCGAGATGTTAAGGCACGGAATATTTACTTACATGTCCTTAACCCTGCATCCACATGCTAGTCAGGTCTTATGTTCTCAGGTGTTTACGCTTTTCTGCGAATTCTGTATCCTTGCGCTACCAAAAGTACGAAAGAAGAGCTCGCGTGCGGAACTCGCGAAATGCACATTGGTAGAAAGATTTGACTAAAAAAAACAACTTAACATCGATTTATCGTCCGTGTGATGTCTTTTATCTCCTGTGACACGTGACCTGTGCTAACCAACCAATGAGGACTCGCAGTGTAATAGAGTTAGCAAAAAGAGCACACTGCATACAATATACACAAATATTATATTCAAGTTCACTTAAAAACACACTCATGTTCAAATATATGAACCAGTAATGAAGTCGTAAAGCAAACTTAACATTACTTTATTAAATATAGACTGTAACAGACATGGAAAAGAATATGTCAATTGACATTGTTCAAACTGTCAATAACTATGTATTGGAAAGACAGAGTTTCTTAATATTGAGCCCCCCCCCCCCCCAGTGGAACAGCGGTGTGTCTATGGACTTACAACGCTAGAAATCGGGTTTCGATACATGTGGTGGACAGAGCGCAGATAGCCTATTGTGTAACTTTATGCTTAACTACAAACAAACGAACTTATTACTGAAAATGATAATTTCTTTCAGCGTATAAAGATTATTTTATATGAATAACGTCATAAAACTACAATAAACAAATATAATGAATAGAATAAACTAGTTCACGATGATAACTTGGTTTATTGAATTTTACCAGTAATATTAGCTCTAGTTTTGTAAAGTTCTAAATGCTGACGGCAGTTAAACAAAAATACAAAATGAAAATCCATCTTTTTTTAATTCTTTGGTCAGAGTTTCAACTCCTAACCTTGTTGGGATTATAGCAAACGGTGCATGAATTTATAATTATGTATGCTATTCCCCAAGAGGGCTAGATTTTCATCGTTTACTTTCGGCTATTTGCACAAAATACTCAGTGGCTATCTGCTCAATTGATAGCATGTTTGAAGTTTCGCACAAAGCTACACAATGGGTATCGAAACCCGGTTTGTATGTGTTTGTATCGTTTATTTGATCTTCTGTTTGCTGTGTGATTGATTTTTGAACGCTATAGTTTCGAATGACTATCGGAACAACTGTATTAGAAATAAGAAAAAAGGAAAAGAACGATAATACAACTTCAGCAAAAAAGAGTAGTGTATGAAAGTTACGAAATCAACTATTAGTAATTATATAATTATACTCAAGATATTTGAACTTTGACTATTATGAGTCTTCCCCTTTCGATTCAAACAATCCGATTCTTTGTAATTAAGCACAAAACTACACAATTGGCTATCTGTGCTCTGTCCACCACGGGTATCGAAACCCGGATTCTAGCGTAGTAAGTCCGCAGACAAACCGCTGTGGGGGGCCCAAACAATCGGAAACAACCCTTATGAGTCCCCTTTCATTTTTATTTCAACTTATCTCAATTGGTTTCTACAAGTGCCCACTGTCATTATAATTTAACCAGTGGTTAAGTTCGTTCAATAAGTTTGTTTGTTGTTAAGCACAAAGCTACACAATGGGCTGTTTGTGCTCTGCTCACCGCGAGTATCGAAACCCGATTTTTAGCGTTATAAGCCCTCATACCTACCGCTGAGCCACTGGCTAGTACGTTTTCAATGATAAAATGATATTACGCAAAAAAAAAACTGTTTTAATTGATCGTGAATATTCACATGTCTTCATAGATTATACCACTTATTAATAAAACTGTGATTATTTTATATCATTCAACTAGATTTCATTAAGAACGAGATAATATTAGTTGCTTAATCATTTTTAGCATCTAACTATCTATATATTTGGTCGTTGCTACGTGATTCTGCCTTGGAGAAACCCTATATATATACATACGTATTAACATAACTTACATTATATTCTTATCATTTATATAAGAGTAAACTAATACACGCCAGGGACTAATTGGCAGCTTAGAACACTCAGTCTATATGTCACGTCAACGTTCACGAGCATTTAATAATCCAGTTACGAATCTTTATAAATATGATTGTGGATTTGTACACAATATTCACTGTTATAAACTGATTCCATGGTGTATTGGCTTATAATTTTATCCAGTGTTTTGAATGTTTTATTGGGGTTTCCATTATATAAATTAATCCATATTACACATCACATTTCCATGATAATATGAAATACAATTTCCATCAGAGATTTTGGTGTATTATTTTATTGTAAAAGATTATACCATTTTCATAACTTACCCAATTCTTCGATGACGTTTTGTTGTTGTTGTTTTTTACTAACTCCAATTTACCGGTCCCCAGTGGCACAGCAGTATGTCTACGGACTTACAACGCTAGAATCCGGGTTTCGATACCCGTAGTGGGCAGAGCACAGATAGCCCATTGTGTAGCTTTGTGCTTAACTACACACAACAACTAATTTACCGATATTTAGCAAATATTCCAGCGATTACCTAAAGAGCCATTTCTAGAGAACTGACAATAATTTTTGGTTCTATATTAGCGGTTTAATTCATGATGGTTAAATAGAATAGCGTAGCAATCAATAAATGTAAAGCTGTATGTCTTTGTTAAATATTTAAATTATAATTTGTTCTACACTTTCACTACTGCGAACTCACAAATAGAATTGACTAACAATTATATCAACTAAGCCTTCTGAAGATCCATGTAATAAGCATACTAATTAAAGTTTTATTTCGAGTTAGTATTGACTTTTTTGTCTTTTGGATACTCGTGTTCAACATTAATCATGTGACAATTACCGTGTGGAATCTTCTACACTGAAGTCGTTTCTGTAAGTTGGGCGGGTATCATTGTCTGACGGATAATAATCAAAATATTCAAATAAGATTAATACAATGATCAATATTTAGGAAAATCCCCAAAAGATCTGTTCTGAATTTAGAAATTGTATTTGTACTAAAAAGATTCCGGCGGTAAACTTGAGGATTTATAACGCTAAAATTCGGTGTTTGATCACTGCATTGGGCGCATCGCAGATAACCTGTTGAGCTATTTTCTGCTCAAACAAGCAGACTATAACAATGGCAGTCCCCATTAAAATACAGAACCTGCGCGTAGTGTCTTAAGCCTTTTCAAGATTGAAAACAACAACAACACAGAAACAAAATTATCTTTCCCTCTTGAGAAAAGACATTTGATTGACGTGTCAAGCTGAATTAGATGGCCCACAATGGATCGTCATATCACTCTAGTAAAATCTTCAGAATTTAAAAACTGTATTTGTATTAACTACATATAGCTTTTTGTTAATTACCATTTCATTTCACTGTTCATAGATATATAAATGGGCCAGTATTTGATCATATAGGCTCCACTTATCACAAGTAATCAATATTTAACCACGTAGTAGCTAAGTTACCTGATCTTACAGTACTTGGAAGGAAGGGTGTAGTGATTTGCTACAGATGGAATGAAAGAGACAAGACTCAGTGGGAAGACAAAAAAGGCGATCACTTTATTGGGAGTAGATAAAAAGTAGAGTCGAATATTGATTACCGTGCTTGTAAAAAAGTTGTAGATACAGTTAAAGAGTAAAATATATTGTATTTAATGAAAGAGAATTAAAATAAACTTTGGTGATAGTTAAAGA